TCCCTAAGGTTTCTCCTATATTTTCTACTAGAAGCTTTATATTTTCATCTATTGTACTTAGATGTATGATCCAGTTTTGTTAAATTCTGTGTATGGTGTGATATAACAGAGTTCATTTTTTGCTTACGGCTATCCAATTGTTCCAGCACAGATTTTTGAAAAGATTATCTTTTCCTTTATTGAATTACCACGGTGTCTTTATTGACATCAACTAACTATATATGTGTGGATCTATTTTAGTAATTTTCTATTCCATTGAGCTCTGTTAACGTCTTGATTGCTATAGCTTCATATTGAGTCTTACAATCAGTAGTGTAAGTCCTTTAACTTTGTTCTTTTTTAAAATAATTTTAGCTATTCTAGGTCCTTTATATTTCTAAATAAATTTTCTAATCAGTTTGTCAAGTTTTATGAAAAGACTGCTCATGTTTTGATAGAGATTGCCTCAAATCTATGGATTAATATGGAAGACAATTGGCATCTTAACCATATTGAGTCTTCTAACTCATGAATACAATATATCTCTCCATTTATTTAGGTCTTCAATTTCTTTCATCACTGTTGTATATTTTTAGTGTGTGTATCTTGTATCTTTTGTCAGTTGATCCCTATTTCATTTTTTTGACACTGTTGTAAACAGTATTTAAAATTTTTTCAATTTGTGATTGTTCACGTTGTCATGTAGAAATAGTTGCTTTTTTAATGTTGACCTTATCGCCTACAGTCATGCTAAACCCATTTATTAGTTCTAGTAGCTTTTCAGCAATTCTTCAAGATTTTCTACATAGAAATCACATCATCTGCAAATTTAGATTTTAGAGTCCATAAAATACAGTATTATTGGAATACTGTATTTATCAGCAAGAGGCTTATCAATTTTATTGATTTTCTCTAAGAACCAGCTTTTCATTTCATTGAATTTCTCTGTTTTTCTGTTTTTAGTTTTATTGATTTGTGTGCTTTTTTGGGTCCTTTCTACTGCTTACCTTGGGTTTAGTCTGTACTACCTTTGGTTAAATGCATGTGTCATTAATTTGAGATCTTTTTTTTTTCAATACAGGCATTAAACTGTAAATTTCCCTCTAAACATTGCTTTAGCTGCATCCTGTAAATTTTGTTTTTTATTTTCATTCCATTCCACATACTTTTTCATTTCTCTTGTGATTTGTTCTTTAACCCATGGGTTATTTAGAAGTGTGTTATTTAGTTTAGTCTACTAATTCTATCATTGTGTTGTTTCTGATATGTTTTTGTCGATTTATCTTCATCATGAGTTGTGTTTTCCTGCTTCTTTGCATCATTAATAAGTTTTGATTGGATGGCAGACTTTGTGAGTTTCACGTCGTTGATTTGCTGAATTTTTTTTCCTTCAAATATTCTTGAGCTTTAAGGTCCCTGGTGGCCCAGACGGTGAAGCGCCTGCCCACAATGCGGGAGACCCAGGTTTGATCCCTGGGTTGGAAAGATCCCCTGGAGAAGGAAATGGCAACCCACTCCAGTACTCTTGCCTAAAAAATTCCATAGATGGAGGAGCCTGGTGGGCTACAGTCCATGGGGTCACAAAGAGTCAGACACGGCTGAGCAACTTCACTTTCACTTAAGTTTCTTGAAAAGTATTTAATCCTTTTGATGATTATTTCTATGTTGTGTTATGAAAGACCAGACAGCTTTTAATCTAGGGCCAACTTGATGCTGCATTTAAAGCAATGTTCCTTGTATATTATGAGGTGTGTACAGTGTGAGTGTTGTGAATGTGAACTATTTCCTGTCCTTTAGGACCTCAGAGAATGGATTTGCCTACTCCTCGCCAGTCACTTTTAGCTTCACTTAGGTTGGTTTTTCACACACATTTACTGACTAGCACGCAGCTCACATACAAGGAGAGCTCCCTGCACATCTCCAGGGTGCTTTCACTGTAGCTCTTTCCTTTCTAGTGCTAGCTGCCTTGGCTTTCCTGAATTGTCAACTCTGTCTCTTTAACTCAGGAAGACCACTGGGTTCTGAGTTTCTCTTCTCTGTGTTCCTGCCTAGAATCTCTCCAGGCAGTAACATGGGACAATTAAAAGCCTCTCCTCATGTATTTCCCTCTCTCAGGGATCATTATGTGTACTGCTTATTGTCTGGTATTTGAAAATTGTTGTTTCATGTCATTTGGCTTGTTTTGTTGTAGGTGTTTAAAGTGAAGATAACTCTGGTTAGTGTTACTCCATCGTGATGGAAAGTGCTGCTGCTTCTTTTTATACTTTCTCTTGTAGATATCACCCCTGTTCTCATTATTTCAGTTTTGTTTTGGGTTTTTTTGGTGGGCTTTTGTGGGCATGGCTCCCAAATCTTTTATGTCAGGACTATTTGCTTAGTTCAGTGCCTGAATGCCTTCATTCCTGATAGCTGTTTTCATTTAGCTTTTTTTTTTTTCTTTTATTTCAAATGCAATACTGTTTTCTTTGAACAACCTCCTCTTTCCTTTGTCCCTATTTCTGTTACATGAAACACAGATGTCCGAGTCCTAGAGGCTAGAATTTCTTTTAATCTGGAATACATTTGGTACCTAAGTTCTCACATTCTTTCCCTCATACTTTTTATCTTCTTTTTTATACCCTCCCTGCCACACACAGACATCCGTTTGCCTAATTCCCAACCTTATAACCTTCCATTTAGGCTACTGCAACAGCTTCCTAACTGGTTTCCCTGCTTTCTTTTCTCTCTGCAGCAATTAACCCTGCAAATTGCTACCAGAACAGTATTCTCAAAACATCTGTCTGTCACCCAGAAATCACCAGTACCTTTTTTCATAAATTACCACGTCTTTATCCTCTTATTTCAAGTTCTTGATGGAATACCCTGGCTGTCCGGTGGTTAGGACTTGGTGCTTTCACTGATGTGAGCCTGGGTTCATCCTTGGTTTCAAAACTAAGATCCCAGATGCCACATGGCATGGCCAAAAAAAAAACCCAAAAATGTCCCTGACAGTTTGATTGAACCTCACTTTCCAGCATTAACTTCCGTTATTTACTTTTCTGAATCCTTCACCCCACCTCCACAGAGTTCCCCACCATCCTCTGCATGTGTCTTATACTTTCCTTCCTCTACTCTTACTTGGACTTTTCCCTGTTTCTTTGTGCATTCTTTAGAATCTAACTTAAATTTCCTTTTCCTCTTTGCTCACCTAAAGCATACCATCCCATAATGATCACTTTCTTTACACTCCTGTTTAAACGCTCTACTGTTTCCTAGACAGTGAACAATGTTTGGAATTGTTAGATACTTGATATGATTTTGTTACTTCTTTCATTCTTTTAAAATACTTTTTTCTTGGAAGGTGGGAGGGAGGTTCCAGAGGGAGAGAACATAAGTATACCTGTGGCTGATTCGTGTTTATGTATGGCAGAAACCAGCACAATATTGTAAAGTAATTATCTTCCAATTAAAAATAAAATTTTTAAAAAAGAAAAAAAACTTTCTTGATTTTCAACTAAATTATCTTTCTTGAAGGAAGAGAGACCATGTTTTGTGTTTCTGTATATTCCTTGTAGGACCATATAATTAGCTTGTTTATAATAAAAATTCATAAATATTTATTGATTTATTTCAGCTTGGAAATACGAAGACAATTTGTGCTGGTTGTTCAGGCACTATAATGAGTTTCTTCCTTTCTTTTAGACATAAAATTTTTGAAAAGTATCTGGTTAGCATTGACCTTAAAGTATATAGGATCAGCAGAAATGTATATTATTTGACTTACTTGAGAAAGGAGCAAAAAACTTTTTTACCATTTCTTTTTCCATATTTATGTTCCTTTTATTTAAAACCTCTAGTTATTTGAGGCAGCTGATCGTAGTTCCTGTTTTTCAGACCTACTTTCAGATATCATCAAGTATTCACCGTTAGTTCTTCAAAGCTGTTCATCTAAAGTTATAGAAACTTTTGACTATTTGTCCTTTCTGCCCATTCAAACCGTACAAGGACTGCTGAAGGCAGTGCAGGTAAGTCTTTTGACTCCTAAGCAGCTCATGGGCAAGGTTGAACTGTTTAGTAGAAGTCTGATGTATTTCTTCATAATTACATATGTATAAGAAATCCTATTTCCCTTGATTCTAAGACAGAACTTTCTATTAAAAGAGCAGAAGCACTGAGCTAGAGTCTATTTTCCAAGTTTATCCCCTCTTCATAGTACTATTCTCTCTCCTTTGATTCTGTTTCAAGTCAGTGAAGTAATTGAAAGGCTCTTAGGAAATTATTAATTGAAGACAGTAGATATAAAGATATTCACAACTAGTTTCAATTTAGCATTAGGATTAACTGGCCTTATTACTAGGTGCAGTAAACATTGCAGCATGTTTATAAAAAGGAACCAAGCTTTCTTACACAAGCCAAATGGTGACAGTATTGAACAGAAATGTGCTAAGGCTAATAAACAAATTGTTGTTTTTAACACTGATTCTTCCTCTTTCAGCCCCTTCTCACAGTCAGCACGTCAATAAGAGACTCCCTGATACTTGTCCTTCGGAAAGCCATGTTTGCCAGGTATGTAGCATCCCCTGAGATCCTAGGAAGTGACGCTTTCTATTGTTACCTAAAGTCCTCTCTGCAGTCACCTCTAGTAAGCAGTCATGCAAATTCCTAATGCACGATCGAGATGACAGTACCATCTCCTAAAGGGATTATGAGATGAGTACTGTGAAAAGAATTTGCTACTTTAAGGATAAAATACCAAATTATCATCACATTGTCCATATTATAGTACACTCATGGGTATTCAGAGGAGCAACTAGTAAGCAGCCAAATGCTATTTATCTGTGTTCTAGAGCTGACAGTTTTTGTTAGTCCTTTCCCAAAAGTGTGTGTGATAGGCCAGCATTGTATGTTGTAGTCTCAGTGAGATGAATGGTTTCTCTGGATGGAGGGTTTACAAGGTGCCAAGCACTGCACTTCTCTCTGTAGAAGGGAAATCTCCTCTAGACTCAGAAAATCAACAATTTTCTTTGCTATTTAGTACTTACATTTCAGTTATCAACTCATTGTGCAGCCTCTCAGGACTCCTGTTCTCACTGCCCACAAAGGCTTGTCAGCAGGATAGAGGAGAGTAGAGATGGTGTCATGAGGTTAAGTAGATGAAAACTTCAGCTGAATTCCTGTACTTCCTAAGTGATGTGAACAGCTATGCCTTATTTTGAGTATGTTTATTTTGCTCTGTTCTTCATTGTTAATATACATTCTTTTTCTGTACAAAACTGACTGGATTTTTCTGACACAGAAGCCTATTCCTGTGAAATCAATACTGTTTGGTAACTTCTTCTCTGTCTATTCCTGAGCTAGCCAGCTTGATGCCCGAAAATCTGCAGTTGCTGGGTTTTTACTGCTACTGAAGAACTTTAAAGTTTTAGGCAGCTTGTCGTCTTCTCAGTGCAGTCAGTCTATCGGTGCTAGCCAGGTAAGGACTTTTGTTCACCGGCTTATGTGTGCACTGATGCAGGAGTTGATGTAAAGATTTTTTTACTCGTGTTCTGGTTGTACAAATGATCCTGAAACTGAGGATATGATGATGATAATATCAGCCATCGCTTACTAATGGCAAATTTGCTGTATGTTAAACTGCTTTTCTGTATGGTAGCCGCTAGCCTCAAGTTGGCTCTTGAACTGTATGTTGATTGAAATGTGGCTAGTTCAAATTGAGTTGTGCTGTATATGTAAAACACACACACTGGATTTTGAAGACTTAGCATGAGATAAAAGTGTAAAATATCTCATAATTTTTTATTTTGATTATGTGTTGAGATAATATTTTGGCTATGTTGGGTTAAGTAAAATATTAAAATTAATTTCACCAATTTCTTTTTACTCTTTTGATTTGGCTATTAGAAAATTTAATATTATATATACAGCTTGCATTTTTAATTTGTATTGTGTTTCTAATGGACAGCACTGTGCTAGACACTATGCTAAGTGCTTTACATTTATTTTCTCATTTAGTCTTCACAGCAATCCTCTGGATAAATACTGTTATTGTCCTCAGTTTTAATAGTTTATTTGTTTGCACACCTGATAAAACCTGTATTCTGAGATAACAAAGCTTTTTACAATAATTTGATAATCTAGGCTTGGCAGCAGTAAAATTGTCTTTGTCATTTAAATTCAGTACTAATGTGATTTGTAAATAAGAGACATCTGTATAGCAGTTTCTTTAGGAATCCTTTATTGCTGTTACAACGGCTCACCACTTTTGTTTATAACTTATGCCGTAGATTAAATATTAGGAACACTGGGATATCATTTATGTATGGTTAATATCCCCATTTTAAGTATAAGAAAACTGAGACTGAGAGAAGTTAAATAATTTGCCCAAAGTGATAGAGCCAGTGAAGTGTGGAACTCGGATTTGCCCTCAGTCAATATTAACTACCTCACTAAGGAGCCTGAAGTAAGTAAGGATTAAGGTTCTTGGTCTATAATTGCTGAAATTATTATGTAAATCAAACAGGCAGTATTATTCTTTGTCATGTTCATATCTTAAAACTACCTGCCTCTAAACCTCTCAGGAGTTCATGGAACCCTCAGAAAAGCTCAATTCTTAGCCTTTTAAGTAGAATCAAGTTTATTATGACTACTAAATTCTAGTGGCATGAAATAATCTGTGTGCCTTCCTAAGTAGGTGACTTAAGAATATTGTTGTACCACATTGCCAAGGAAAATCTTAAGGAATGAGAAAGTTAATTTTTTTTAAGTGCTTGAAAATTCTTATTCCAAAATGGAATAAGATACTTATCATGGTCTGATATTGGTTATAATGTCTGCCTCAGCCCTGGGTTTTGCTGTATGGGAAAAGCTAAATGTAAGGTCCTTTGACCAAAAATATCAGCTCATTTTACCCCTTAAAGGAACTATTAATACTTACTCAGGTAAGATCTACATGAACAGACCTCTCTTCCTTTCAGATTCACGTGGATATCCATAGCTGTTACAATTCTGTCGCCAATGAGACCTTTTGCCTTGAGATCATGGATAGTTTGAAGAGATGCCTAGGTCAGCAGGCTGATGTTCGACTCATGCTTTATGAGGTAAATCAGTAGGGTGAAAGGGATGTAGTCCTGCTCCCCAACTCCACTGATCCTTTTAATTTTAATAATTTTTCTTACTGGAGTACAGTAGATATACTCTTATTTAGTGCAGTGAGAACTAGTAGTTAGTGATGCTTAGCCAAAAATTCATTGAAGGTGAGGAAGCATAAAGAATAGTTGAAACATGTTAAATGTTTTCATTTGAAATATTTAAATGTACTGTTAATTTACCAGCCTTTTGTTTTAAGGAAAAGTTCTTTTGCTTTTGAGTATGAAAAATACTCCAGATTAGTCTTGGTAGAGAAATCTTCTAAATGTATTCAGTTTTTTCCCTAAGTTTTTAGAATTGTCTTACCCCTCCCCCAATCCATCAGAAATTAGTTTTAGAGATTTACTTTTATTAAATATTTCCAAAACATTCAACTTAGTTTTCATAGAAACAACTTCTTGGGTTTTTTTGTTTTTGTGTTTTTATTGGGGTGTTTTTTTATTGGCCATGCTTGCGTGCCTTGTGGGATTTTAGTTCCCTGACCAGGGATTGAACCCACATCCTCAGCAATGAAAGAGCAGAGTTCTAACAGCTGAACTGCTAGGGAATTCCCCCAAACAGCTTCTTTGTCATTTTGCTCTTGGTTTCCAACAGTTTACAGAATGTCTTGAGTAGATTACATAATGACAGTACAATTAGAAAAAATGAGTGGAACAAAATACTGATTACTACTGACTTGTAATTAGGATATAATCAGCCAGTGGAACAAAAGTCTGCAGTCATGGGAGACTGCAGTACAAGTTCTAGCATTTAGTATGCTTTGCACTTCGGCACACATATTTCATAGGATGGAGAACATTAGATAATCTAGCAGGTAGATTAAGTGCAAGTCATTTCAGAGAACAGCTTTACTTTCATTTGGCATTTTTAAAATAGCATTTATTGAGCTACTGTAGTTGTCAGGCACCATACCTGACATTGGATTTTTTCAGGTTTATTGTAAAAAAATATAGAAAGTACAGAAAAAAATTTTTTTATTATTACTAGTCCTACCATTCATATGTATACTTACACAAAATTGGAATCATAGATTTCTCTAGTGTTTTATCTCAATATTATGCTGTAAGCATTTCCTATTTTATTAAATGTTCTTTGCCACATAATTTTGAATGCTAAAAAGTGCTTTTTCTGTGTACAGTAATTTATTTAACTTTTCTTTATTCTGGGGGCATTTTTGTGGCTTCCAGTTTTTCACTATGAATATTGTTGTACCACATTGAATGTTTGACAATAATGTACCACTGTGAATGACCACATTGGCGGGTTAAAGATAGAACATTTTAAAGTCTATAGCATGCGCTGTCAAGCACTGAATTTTTTTTTTTTAATGGTTGAAAATACCTTTGTTTTAACATTTATTTGTGATGAAAAATCTCAGACACTCTTTGCAAATGAGGATTAGAGGGGAAATTTCTCAATTTAATAAAGGGTATCTATGAATCCTACATCTAATTTAAATAGTGAGAGAACTTAATGTGTTTCTTCTCTGGTCAGGAACAAGGATATTTGTTCACAAAACTTCTGTTTTACATTGAAGTGAAGGTCTGATCCAATGCAACAAGGCAAGAAAAAGAAATAAAGGCTCATAGATTTGAAAGTATGAAGTAAAGCTGTCTTGATTCACATAGTATACATAGACCATACCAAAGAGTCTACAAAAAATGATATAGTAAGGTTGTAGAATACAGGATCAGTAACCATGTAATAGTCAATTATAGTTCTGCTTACTAGCAACAGATAGTTCAAAATTGAAAGTAGTATTTATAGTAGATGAAAAATACCTAAGGAGAGGTTCCACAAAGTATATGCAAGATATGTACACTGAAGACCTCAAAATATCACTGAGAGAAATTAGAGTTAAGTAATTGGAAAGATATGCAATGTTCACAGAATAGAATGCTCAATATTGTCAATATTTTTAAGTATCTGAAAGATCTGTAAATTGAGTGAAATCCCAGGCTTTTTTGGTAGAAATTAAGTTGATTCTAAAAGTTACATGGAATGTAAACCACCTCTAAGATAAACAGCACAATTGAAAAGTATAAAGTTGGTCAGTAGAATGTTGACAAAGATCCCAAGGTAATTCAATGGAAAGAGGATAGTCTTTTCAACAGACAATTCTGGAACAATTGTTTGTTGTATTGGGGGGGTCCCCAAAGCCACCTCTATTTAAAAATTTCTTTAGGAGTCATAAAACAACATATATTTGTTCTCATGGCTCAGATTATAGTTGAGCATAAAAGCAAAAAATAGCACAAGTGAGAGGCTCATAGGGTAAAGTCCACAGGAAACCAGATTCCTCTTTAAGAATATAAGCTATTCTTTATACAGTTTAGGCACAATAACTTCTCATTGTTTTGGGAGTTTTATATCAGTATGAGAAACTATCAACCAGATTCACAGTCACCAGCCAAGGGCTAACCTTGGAAGCAGACCTTACCAAGGATAGCAGTCTCAGACTACTAATTAACTCTTCTCCACAGTCATCCGTATTAAAAAGAAGAAACCCTCAACCCTTATTTAGCTCCAAATTACAAAAATTACCTTGTAATGTCTCATAGACCTAAATCTGTTAGAATATTGGTATTCATTTATTCATCAAAGACTTAAGTCAATCTTTTGATTTGTAAGAACTCTATGTATTATTAACATAAATACCTTTTGTCATACTTGTTTTAAGTACAGGCCAGATTGCCATTTGCTTTTTTTTTTTTTTAGTTCTACCACTTTATTGCTACTAACCCATCTCCCTCCACCCTCGTGCACACATGCTCAGTCATGTAACCCCATGGACTGCAGCCTGCCAGGCTCCTCTGTCCATGGATTTTTCCAGGCAAGAATACTGGAGTGGGTTGCCATTTCCTTCTCCCCTTTTTTTTTAATGATAATCATTTTAGAGCTAGAAATGTAGATTTTACAGTTTGGTTGTAATCTTCACCTTTGAGATACCTACCATCTCTTTTGTGTAGAGTCCATATCCTTCCAGTGAATATTTACTAACATTTTCTTCTATTTTTTTTTCATGCTTTTGTTTAACTACTTAATTCTTCTGCAATTTTTATATTAATATGTAAAGACCCAACTCCCCCCAGATTAACCATTTCTTTTTTCAGATATAATATATTGCCTCTTTTATGAGTACTGAGTCTTTCTGTTTGTATGCTATGCCTTTATTTTTCTGTAATTTTTGTGCCAGGACCAC